TAGCCTCGGGAAATGTACAGTGGCGGAAAGTATTGCCCGAATAATTGCCTGAAAAATGTTTACGTACTTTTTTGGTGCCATTTTTGTATAGTTACGATTCATATTTCGGCCTCGGTTGTAAAGTAGTTATGTGTTGTGTGTAGCGGTTATGGGTTTCAGATTTATAGGGGTCGATTTTTTAAAGGGGACGAGATTTGGTTCGCGTAGGTGCATCCGGACAATTAATGCCAAGCGGCATACTAGATCTATATCCTACCCTCCCTCATTCTACTTTCTTGCCCTCGCGACTTTGGAGTAGTCAGGTGATAGGCTAGGACCGCTACTATGATTAGGCCATCATGAAGCCGTTAGGTGAGGCGCTCTATGCACGGATCATTACCTTGTTGCGGAGGGGGTATAGCACTAGTCGAATCGCTAAACAGCTAGGCATAGGGTAGAGTTCGGTCCATCAAGGCGATTGTAGAGTCTTGCCGCGATGACGTGCGTCCTACGATGCCCTCAGCCGGTCGCCCTCGCTTAGTGACAGAGAGAGTCCGGCCCGACATAGTTCGGCCGATTACCAGCGAGGAGGCAAAAATCTCCGCTCACGTGGCGTTGATCGTCGAGAAGCAGCACAGCATCACGTTGCATCCTAAGACAGTGCGTAACGCTTTGAATGGCAGCGAACTTGTCGCAATCAAGCATCCCACCAAGCCGCGACACTCTCGGAAAAACATACGCGATAGGCTAGAATGGGCCCGTGCCCACGCGGACTGGACGTTTGACGACTGGAAGTGAGTGATCTGGTCGGATGAGACCAAGATCGGTCGTTTTGCATCCGACAGACTCTCATACGTCTGCGTTCACGAAGGGACTGCCCTCCAAAGACACCAAATCAAGCAGACCGTCAAACACGGAGGCGATTGCTTGATAATTTGCGACTGCATATCGTATAAGGGAGCGAGTTTCATGAGCAAAACATATGGTAGGATGGACGGACTGCTCTCTCTAAGTATATTGCAGGACGAGCTCAATAGTACGATCGAGTTTTACCAACTTGCACCCTCGGAAGTTATCTTCCAGCACGACAACGACCCCAAGCACAAGTCGCGTATCGTGCATGAATGGCCTCGAGAACAGGAGTTTGGGGTGGTGGAGTGGCCATCATCCTCACCCGAACTCAACCCAATAGAGCATCTATGGGCTCATCTCAATGTGTGGTTACCCAAGTACGAGAGGCCTCCCCCTGGTATGCTGGACCTGTGGAAGCGTGTCCAGAAGGAAAGGGAGAAGATATCATCGGATTTGTGCACCCACCTGGTGGAAAGCATGCCCAGGAGGGAGAGAGCGGTGATTAAAGTGAAAGGCCGAAAGGACTAGGTACTAGTTTGGGGTTGTTGAAACTTGCTGCTTGCGCCTGGCACAAATTGTCCGGATGTACCATGATTGTTAATTTGTGCTATGTGCTGTAAACATCGAGAAATGTAAGGCATGGGCCTATAGCCTTACCCCAACCTACATACACTGGGCACACCAAAAGATTATGGCTTAATGTGCATGACCCCTTAATATTCCAAAATTTGTCCAAGTGACAAACATGTGGCCAATACTTTCCGCCAGTGTAGTTGCGCGGTCAGAGCGGCGGCCTCGTCGGCAGATTTCGCTTCGCCGCTCATCTTAAGCAACTTGAATCCCATTCGGCGCAGTGCTTTCTGCACCCATCCAACAGAAGCTTTAAAGTCACTAGGGACGTTGCACTCGGGGACTAGCAGTATCGCACGCTGCTGGATTAGAGCCGTCGAAACTGGCAAGCCAGCACCATTCGTGCTTTTCAGCCAGCTCTTGAGTCGAGCTTCTAGTAGAGGCCAATGTGGGTTACGCACCCTTTTGAACTTGGCGCGTTCGGGCCCGATGGCCCGCCACTTCTGTTCGGTTTGCAAAACTAGCCCGACTGTACTGCGATCCGGCCACAGGCCGTATCTGGTGTGGCACCATCGCCCAATGTCTTCGAGCCGCAAGGTTGTGTTCTTCTTGGCGTATTGGCAGATTGCAACCTTCTGCCCGATGGCGAGCGCAACTCGCCGCACAGGTGCCATTTGGACGACTTTGTGGGTTTGGCGGGCTCGTTCCTTGTGTCGTGATGAGGTCGCTGTTTGGGGCGTATAAATAACCCCGGGGTGTCGGAACCGGTGGCGGGGGGAACGATATTGGGACCCCTCTGATGCTTCCGTAGCGCGCTCGTATTGGCAGTGGGTGGACGGATTTTCCTGGGGCAACGCCGACGGATTCCATTGGAATGGCTAGCGCAATTGTACTGGACCGTCTACGAGCTGGTCGTATCTAGCGCATCATGTGGATTTTTGCCTCGACATTGGTTGGCGAGCCTGATACATCTGGATTTTTTTAGGCTCACCGACCACTAGGTGTGGTCGCTCTGAAAACACAAGAGCAATCCGATTGGCCGCCCTTGGATCAGACGAATTGTCTGTCTACTTTACTGTTGAGTTGAGGCGGGTACACTTTGCGTACAAGGAGAGGCCCTTAAGGATAAATTGCCTATGAAATACTTCTGGGCGTAAAAGGGGGTCGTCTACAAGGCATATGATCTGTACTGTAATAGAGTAGCACTATTGATTTTAGGTGGGGTGGTGTGGGCGGTTTTACTCGTTCTGTTCACGATGGGTGCCTTGGCGTATTGGCCACTTGATCCAGGTTACCAGTGAATCCGTCACGTGTCATGTGAGGGGTCGTGTGGCCTCTACAAACATGCACAACAAATATTTCGTCTGGTCAGAAAATCTCGCGGACGAAAAAAGGCACACCTCGTTAGCGAGCCTCCCCGAATCTGCGTAGGCTCCAAACGCGCAAACTAAATAAACATAAAAACCTTTGTTCGTGGTCTTACGAAAAGGGCAAATGGAACGAAATATTGACGAATTTATTGACCCTCTTCGTTAACCAACCACACATTTTCACGACATCGAAAGAGACCCTCTTGAGAAAATCATTTTCGAAATGTGGAGTTGTTCATGGGGATTGGGGAAACTAGGGTCGTGGTTCCGTATTCTGGACGCCCTTGTTCGTATTATTCGGGAAGCCTGAAAATGTACGTAATTAGTTCTCAAAAATGACAGATGCCTCGAATGCTGCTGACACGAGGATTTGAACATGACTGTTTTCGTAAGACAAGATGGATGGAAATGTTTACACAGTACACGTGCCTGCGTACAGTTTGCCGGAAGTCTAATTAGCAACATTTAATTGGCCGTTGGATCGCCATCTGGATTGCGACCCCATTTCATAGCAACTGTGTGGTATGCAAGGCGGTAGTGGATTTCGGGAAAATAATTGGCCACTTTCATCTAGCCACTCCCAAATCGCAAGGGACCTCGTCAGAAATTTCATTGGCAGACAGGGCGTTTACAGTAGCTATGTTGACCGAACGCACTATACTAGTTGTACGCCGTACGAACGGAGTACAGCGTGTTGGCTCCTACCGAATTATGGACGGTAGGATAGTATCTAGATAACAATGTCGAGGACTTAATGGCATACCCGCTGTAGCAGCTGCGCTAGTAGGGCAATCACTCTGAACAAACCAGTTCTCAAAGATTTTTTTCCATAGCGACTCTAGTTGTGTTGGCCGGTTTTTAAAACACAGATCCACGCACGTAGGTGGGGTGGACCCGGACCTATTTATGTTCGGTGCGTCCCGATGTTTTCAATCCCCCTCTCCCCGGTCATCCCGCACATTGATGCCCCGCAAAAACTGGCCGTGGCAGGCTATCAGGCTATTTCTGCTTCCGAACCGGATCAGTTGAGGAAATATTTCGAGCGACTCGTTTTTGAAAGGGTGGTTGAAAGGCAGGCCCGGATTGTCCCAAATAGCAAGGATCCAGCATCAACCCTCACACCCATCAATCCACCCCTCATGTTCTTCTTGAACCTGAGGTTATGAGGAGCATTCAGTTCGGTACTGAACGCAATACCTTGATCTTGTCAGACCTTCCATCCTCAGTCAGCACACAGTAATGGCGGCATTTGCCTGTCGTAATTTCCTCACGCGCCCCTGCTTCCCATCGGAACGTTAGAGTCTTGCAACACCAGCTAGAAATGGTTTTGTGGCGCGTAGGAATCCGCCAAGGCCGTTCTTTCCCCAAAAATCACGCGTGCACTGCAATTTCCAGCACCTGCTGTCGTATTGCCTTGCCTGACTCGAGCTTTCAGTTCAGAGCCCCTCAAATTTCGCACTGTCTATGACACGTCAGCGGTTCCAGCTACGCCGTTGTGACATGTGAGGCGAGTTGAGTCGCTGCTTTCGCCATGCCGCATGACGGAAAAGGGAGCTCTAGGAGGTAGAGAGGGGTAGAGGAATCTTAAAGCCCGTCACTCCTAGTATATCAGAGAAACCAGTCACGTTCAGTACGACAGTTCACTTTAGCAGCACCCTCGCCTCAGAATCTGACACCGCCAGCTCCGATCCAACGGCTCAATCTCGATCTCGATCTCTTGTTCTCGTTGCGGCGATTCCCGCTGAAAATGAACGGAATCGTCGGACGATCACGTGATCCATTCGAAACTTCAGAATAAATCGTCGATCGGAATCGTTGGCGATCGGAATCGTCCGATGGGATTCGTTTCAGAGTCGCCTCGCGTGACTCGTCGCATGATCGCTAGCAAGGCCTCGTCGAACCGTCGTCGGTCTTCCCACCTGGCGCAGAGCCCAATGAACTCCCAGATTCATAGGCAGCAGCAATCCGAGATTCACAGCAGTGAGCAGCTTTCTTGTTGTGTGCTACAGTAACAGATCCAGCGAGCCCTTGTCCTGTTCGCGCGCACGCGCAATGGCAAGTTTGCGTCCCAAGCTCGGTGCGTCGCATTCCCAGCACGTCGCACAGCTGTAACTCACCAATGCTCTGAGCTTTGATTGGCTCAGACCGTCCACGTTGGGAATCACCGCATTATGATATGACTCATCGCATTCTGAGAATCGACGGTGTTGCTGCCACATCTACTACTACTACCGGCGCACCAGTGCCTTCAAAGGCCGTGTCTCGCTAAAGGTTAGCTCTCACGTGCCGTGATCCAACCTGACCCCCCTCCCATTGGCCCTGCGGCGTCCTCCCTTGTACTGTTGTGACAGCACAGGGAAGCACACTGCGGGGCAGCCAAGCCACTGCGGCATCCTAGCCCAGCTAGAGCAGCCCTGAATGCCACTGAGTGGGATGGAGGGGGCACTGGGGGGCGGGCATGGAGTGGGCTTTTAGAGGGGAGGGGGGGGAAGAGTGGATCAGCATATATCATCTCCCCTTCCAGAGCTTGTTTGGCATTAGTAGCTCGCCGCTCGTTCCTAGTCCCAGCCCACCTGCATTCCCGCCAGAGCGAGCCTCTCACTCGTACTACTACCAGTAGCAGTGCTGATATTACCAGAACTAGGCGCTTTTTCATCAGTAATGAAGCACTTTCAGGTGTAAGGCGACAACGCCGGCAACAACGGCCAGCACCAGAAGGCCCGAGTGAACCGTTCTCGGGGCCCATTGCCGGAACAAGCTCAGGCCACCTGGACCTTCAAGGTGTCAACGAGCTCTCTCCCTGATTTTGGAGGGGTTGTCTCAGTCAGGAGGAGTTCTGTCTGAGTCCGGAGGGGCTCTGTCTGAGTCAGGAGGAGTTCTGCCTGAGTCAGGAGGAGTTCCGTCTGAGTCAGGAGGAGTTCTGTCTGAGTCACGAGGAGTTCTGTCTTAGTCATGAGGAGTTCTGTCTAAAGAAGGAGGTTGGGCGTGCAGCCACCAAAGTCAGCACCGCGGAGTTCGGCTCAGGAGCCCTTCGTCTCTGACAGGGGCCCTGTCACCCGCCCCTATCTCCCAGAGGGAGAGACGCCTGCGAGGACTTCTACAGGAGCTTGCGGAGATTGAATCAAAACCGGAGGAAAGATTCAGATCTGGGTCGTATCAGAGCTGAGCTCGTGGGTCCCATCACAGAGCTCGGTGCCCCTAATCAGAGATCCCTTGGTATCTGTGTTGCCACACAATCATCGGCCCATCGTTGAGGGATCCCGGACCGGACGCCAGAGCTCTATCCTACAGACTCTGTCAGTCACATGGAGGCGGCACCGCTGGCCGCACTGCCGGTGCCTCGCAGCCAGTGGGCCAAGCAGCTGGTGGCAGCATACGGGGTTCCGCCGGGAGATAGCAGACACGACTCCAGCGACTCACACTGGGAGGACACACGGGTGAAGAAGCGCAGCCGCTGCAAGGACGATTGTGACTATGACTCTCTCGATGCGGCTGCAAGAGCTGCTGCTACTGCTGATGTTACTCGTGCTGCTGCCAACTATGGCTGTCAGGCGCGTGGCTTCAAGAGCCCTAGGCCCCATGCAGCAATGCCGGCACCTTCCACGCACGAGATGTGTTCACAGCGCATAGCAGGCAGGCCCGCAGGAGCAACCCCGGGGCACCTCAGTTGCGGTGTGCTGGAACCCAAGAAAGGGATGGTGGAGAATCAACTGGGGGAGGTTTGGAACAGGTCGCAGAGTGAAGCAGCTGTTGGTGCTCCAGACCTAACGGCTCATGCTGCTGCCACGGATCCAGCTACTACTGATGCTGCTCCAGGCTTAATGGCTCTTGCTGCTGCCGCCTCTACTCCTGCTGCCACTCTTGATGCCACTGCTCCTGCTTCTGCTACTGCTGCTGCTGCTGCTGCTGCTGCTGGCGGTGGATCCTTCAGCGCGAGGCCGGCAGCTTACTTCCGAGCCAAGGAACTGCAAGGGCTGCAGATATTCCCAGAAAATCCTCGTGAGCGCCCCACAGAGTCCAGCAGCAGCAGCAGCAGCAGCAGCAGCAGCAGCAGCAGCAGCAGCAGCAGCAGCAGCAGCAGCAGCAGGAGCAGCAGCGGCACAAACTTCAACTTCACTCTAGACACAGTCATGGCCAAGCTGGCAGAAGCTGATGCATCCTCGCGTCCTGGTGACGACAGCACCGAGTGTCCTCGTGAAGGCACTGCATTTGCCACTCGATCCATCCCTGACTTGAACCTGCTTCCCTGTGGGGCTGGTGAGCTGGTGCTGGGTCAGCAGGTTGAAGCCGCCCTTGGCGTTCGTTCCGTTGGACTGGAGCCATCAGGTTGCGACCACGCCGCTCCAAGTGTGCACAGGGATGAAATCCCAAGCCCTTGCTCGAAAACACTGCAGTGCACTGGTCCACATCCTCATCAGAAGCAGCAGCAGCAGCAGCAGCAGCAGCAGCAGGTGCATCAGCAGCAGCAGAGGCATCAACACCAGCACGAGCACCATCAGCACCAGCGCCAGCACCAGCACCAGCGCCAGCACCAGTACCAGCACCAGCACCAGCACCAGCACCAGCACCAACACCAGCACCAAGTGCAGCAGCAAGTTCAAGAGCAGCACCACAAGTTTGGACCATCGGCAGGCCTGCACGATTCAAACCGTCTAGAAGCGGATAGGAGGGCGCAGCTGATAAGGGAGATCAAGGTCCAGATGTACATCTTCTGGAACTGCTGCCACTGAACCCGTGCTGCCACTGACCACGTGCTGCACTATGAATGGGTAAAAACAAGCCCTGTGAAGGTATGGGGCACAACTAAGATCCCCTCCATTTTAGCTTCTGACTGCATATGAGGTGGAAATTAGAGCCCAGGTGAAACAGTCACGAGGCTGTTTGGAGTCGATAGTAGAGTTAGGAGGTATTCTTGGAAGATTTGAAATGTGAAACTAGCAAGGTAGCTTTACTAGAGATCATATGATGGCTTCCAATCAAGAAGCACACCACTATATACAAGGAAAATGACTGAGGCACCTCGAGAAGGTCGCCCAAGTCGCATCTCACCTTTGCTAAGCTAAGAACAGCAAAGCATAGGTAGTGATTACATGCATACACACTTAGCCTTGCTGGAATTCCAGAAAGTAGCATGCATAGTCTAGGAATTAACTATTGCAGCCTAGACGAGTTTTCCTTGTACTGCTGTTGCTGACGACATTCATAGAATAATGAGATATAGTGTTGGTATGAACTATGGCTTTAGTTGCTCTCCGCTAACAGCGCTGTCGATTATTCTGCTGCGCTGCTTGGCTGGCTTGTGTGCTCTCTGTAGTTGTTCCCAAGGTTGGGAACTCAGATTGACTGGTTGAACAATTCGAGGTTGGATTCAACCTTCGAATTGCCCAAGGGTGTGTTCCGAGGTTGGGTTTCAACCTCGAATTCAAATTGAGTTCAGTTGGCGAAATCGGAAGTGACGATTTCACCTCCGTCTTGTTACAATACTCCCCTCCCAAGCAAGCACCATCCTCGGTGCTTGGGCAGCTGCTAAGTAGTTGGCATGTTGAGCATGCTGGAGGCTAGTCTCAGGAATCCAGAGGTTGTGAGAGGAATCATGGCCACGCCACTTAACAAGGAAGAAAGTACCATGAGGAGAGGTTTCATGAGAGAGGATTTTTTCAACTTTAAAAAGGTCAGGGCTTGGGGTGAACATAGGAGGACGTTGAGGTTGAGTGAGAGGAAAATGGGCTGGTGGGAGATGATAAGGACGGAGTAGCTGTACATGGAAAACCGGATGGATGTATGGAGGTAGTTTCAAGCGATAGGTAACTGGAGAGAGGACTTGAGTGATGGGGAAAGGGCCTATGAAACGATGAGCAAGTTTATAGGTAAGACCAGATTTAAGTAGGGCAGATTTGCAGTTGAGAGAAGAACTTGGTCACCTTCATGAAACTGGATGTTGCAACGATGTTGATCAACATACCGGATCATACGTGCTTGTGCTTTCAGCAAGGATGCTCGAGCTGCTACAATAACCATCTCGCAAGTGGAAAGGAAGGAAGCTGCTGCTTGAGTGTCAGGAGTGCGGACAAGGGAGGCTGGTGTGCGAGGTTGCTGTCCTGTGGCGAGGAAGAAAGGAGTTTGGCCGGTGGCAAGATTCACAATGCTGTTGTAGGAGAATTCGATTGAAGGCAGGTGTATGTCCCTGTCATTCTGCCGTGCATTCACACATGCACGAAGGGCATCTTCAAGGGTTCGATTCATTCTCCCTGTCTGCCCATCGGACTGAGGATGATAAGCAGTAGAGAGGCGAATCTTGCTGGCCAATCGTTGAAAGAGGGACTGCCAGAATCTGCCAACAAATTGCGAGTCACGGTCACTGATTAGGACGCAAGGAATGCCATGAAGACGAACCACTTCCTTGAAGAAGAGATCCGCTACAGCTTCAGCAGTTGCATTAGTAGAAGTAGGAAGGAAGTGAGCCATCTTGCTGAGCTTGTCGACTACAGTAAGGATAGCGTTGTGGTGGGAGGAGGTGCGAGGGAGATCGGTGATAAAGTCGATTGTGACATGAGACCAGGGAAGTTGAGGTATCTCCAAGGGGTGAAGCAAGCCGTAGGGTGCTGCGTTGCGAGCTTTGTTGCACTGACAAGTATGACAGCTGCGTACGTAGGAGCGGACGTCACGAGAGAGCTTGGGCCAGAAGAAATTTGCAGAGATGGCTGCAAGCGTTTTGTCCACTCCAAAGTGTGCATTCTGGTCATGATGCTCGCGTAGCAGGAGGTAACGCAACTTGCGGTCGGTTGGAACGCAGATGGCTTGGGAATGTGCCTTATACCAGAAAGGGGATTCATAGTAGACAGATGGATCGTTAGCAGCAAGATTGAGATAGAAAGGGTCACGACGATACCCTTTGATGAACTTGTCGATGAAGCTTTCATCCCATGTAACACTGCCGATGGTGGTGAATTGAGATTGCAGAGGCCGGGTTAGAGAATCAGCAGGGTTGAGGCGGCCAGCGCGGTACTCAATTTTCAGCTCAGGTATGTACTGCTCCAGGTACTCCATCCATCGGGCCTGTCTAGGGGTAAGATGGGGTTGTGTCTTGAGGTATTGCAGGGTGCAGTGAGAAGTAAGAACAGTGACGGGTTGCATATGGACATACAATAGCAACGCCACTTCTTGATTGCATGGACGATGGCCAGCGCCTCACGATCGTGAGTAGCATAGTTGCACACAGCAGGCTTGAGCTTCCGAGATTCAAAAGCAATGGGTTGGAGGCCATGTCCTTGGCCCTGACAAAGGATTGCACCCGTTGCAATCTGAGAGGCATCAGTCCATATCACATAAGGGAGGGAAGGGTTGGGTAGGACTAGGGTAGGAGAGGAGGTTAGTGCACACTTGATAGAGTCAAAGGCTTTTTGCTGGTCCGAATCCCAATGGAATCCTTCATTCTTGCGGAGCAGACTGGATAGGGGGGAGGTGATAGCAGCAAAGTGCCAGATGAATTTGCGTTAGTAGTTAGCAAAGCCAAGGAAGGCTTGTACTTCTTTCATAAAAGTTGGAGGTTTCCAGTCCTGGACAGCTTTGAGTTTGGAGGGATCCATGGCAAGCTGGTTGTGTGAGATGACATGGCCCAAGAAAGGAATTGAGGACTTTGCAAACTCACACTTGCTATGTTTGACGAAGAGGCGGTGCTCACGAAGTCGAGTGAACACCTGAGTTAGATGCTCAACATGTTCTCTCAATGATTTGCTATAGATCAGAATGTCATCAATGAAGATTATGACAAACCGGTCCAAGAAATCACGAAAGACGTTGTGCATCAAGCACATGAAAGTGGCAGGGGCATTTGTTAGTCCAAAATGAAGAACTAGGAATTCAAAATGCCCATACCGAGTTCTGAATGCAGTTTTCTCTATGTCTTCGTTAGCGAGACGAACTTGATGATATCCGCTTTCGGAGATCCAGCTTGCTAAAAATTGTCACTTCGTCGAGTTGATCGAAGAGTTCTTTCACACGTGGCAGGGGGTAGTGGTTCTTGTTGAGTACACGATATTCGATGCACATCCGCATGCTGCCATCCTTTTTCTTCACAAAGAGAATTGGTGCTGCATAAGGAGAGGAGCTGACTCGGATGAAGCCTTTCGCAAGAAGCTCTTCCAACTGCTTCTGGACTTCTTGCAGTTCGGTAGCACTCATCCGGTAGGTAGCACGGACGGTAGGTTCGGAGCTAGGGAGTAGAGTGATGCGGTGATCAATGGCTCTCTTGAGAGGAAGACCAGAAGGAAGGTCTGAGGGAAAGATGTCTTTGAAGTCATCCAAGACCTGTTGAATTTCAAGAGGGATCTCAGCAGCCTTGGAAGGGGAAGAGGAAGAAGGACTTTCACAGGTTTTCTTCAAAACACAAAGAAAGAATTGAGCACTTGGGTCTTTTAAAGATTTTTTAAACTGTCTTGCTGAAAGAAGGTTACAGCAAGTAGGTATGGAAGGAGAGGAAGAAAGGGTAGATAAGGTTATGTCTCTTCCAGAGTTAGAGATGATATCAATTCCAAGGGTCCAATCAATCTTGGGATTAGCTGTAGACAGCCAATCACGCCCAAGAATTATTTCATGGTCTCCAAGAGATGCTTGCTGAAATTGAATCTTTGTTTTGTAGGGTCTGATAGTACAAGGGACCGGGAAACGTAGTGGTCCACAAGGAATTGAAGTTCCATTTGCCATCAACACTGTCTGAGGTAGGGATTTAGGTTGGGTTAAAAGGGAAAGCTTGGAAAGTAGAGAAGAAGAGATAAAATTTGAAGAAGCGTCACTGTCAATTAAGGCTTTCACTCTTTGACTCCGGATAGTCATGGGAAGAAGCAGAGGTTTAGAAGGGCTATGATATTCAAGAGAAGAGATAGAGGGGCTGATTTTGTTACCAGGAAGTTGCCCCGAACTCACTGGCGGCTTCCGTCTCCCGGTGTTGAAAGAAGAGGCGGTTGATTGGTGCGCCCGCGGCAGAACTTCCAGATGTGTCATTTCTTACCGCACTTGAAGCTCACGACTGGTGGCCTCAGGTTCCGCTTTCTTTTCTCGATCAGGTTCAGGTCCATAGGAGCGGGTTCTTGCTGGTTGGTGTCTGTTGAAGTGAAGGACTGGTAGGAGGGAGCAAAAGGAAGAAGCGGGCTGCGATGAAAGCGAGGCTTACTATAGGCAAAGTGAACAGCGTCATATCGTTCAGCCACGCGTATCATTTCCTCAAGCGTAGTGCAGTCTCTCAGCTCCATCTCCATGCGCACGTTCCGCTCCAATCCACGCTTGAAGTGATCCATTCGTTCGGCAAGGGAGAGATCCGGAATTTCTTGAGTGGTGTCACGGAAGCAAGAAGCGTGCTCTTGGACTGATTTCAGTTGCTTGAGGGTAGCCAAGGAGTCTCGTGCCTTGATGTTTGGGTTCACGGGTTGAAATGTTGACGTGAAGACTCGCTTGAAGTGTTCCCAAGAGGTGATAGATGCGTGCGCAGATTGCCACCATGCGATTGCAGAACTACGGAGAAGAGTTCCGGTGAAGGAAGTCCATGTAGCAGGTGCTATGTGGCTGAGCAGCAAGTATTGCTCCACGAGAAATAGCCATCGGCTCACGACCGGCTGATTTCTCCCGGGAAAGAAAAAATCAGGAAGAGCAGGTCTAGCGCGCTGATTTACATCTGATGGTGCAGCAGGGTTCACGCCTGCCACCATTCCAGCTGCAGCTATACTGGCTTGCAATTCTGCCTGCAAGCTTTCTCTAACCTCAGAAATGATTTGAGCTCAGTAGGTTTGAAATAAACCAGCCCAATCGTCGGGAGAAAGGGGGCCATTAGTCGTCATGACGAGCTCTAATAAAAAGAGGGTTGGAGATAGCTCTGAATACCAAATGAAAGAGCCACTAGGCTGTTTGGAGTAGATAGTAGAGTTAGGAGGTATTCTTGGAAGAGTTGAAAGGTGAAAGTAACAAGGTAGCTCTACTAGAGATCATATGATGGCTTCCAATCAAGAAGCACACCACTATATACAAGGAAAATGACTGAGGCACCTCGAGAAGGTCG